AGGATAAAGTTGCATTTATTGGTACGTGGTGCAGGTAGTTGTATCATGTAGGCAGGAATTTATGACCTTGTTGTTGCTTTATTTAGAAACTAACATGGATGAATTATGTGGTGAAGAGATGCATGTGTGGATGCAAGCTGTGACCAGCGTGGAGTTTTGGATGATATGTATTAGGTGTCAGATTGACTGAATGGAGGATGCCTAGACACTGGTGAAGTTTTTTTCTGGTGTGTCTGTGAAGGTGTTTTTTGGAGGTGAAGGTTGCATGTATGAGTCAGTGGGCTGGAGAGATGAAGACCCATCCTCAATGTGGGTGAATCAAGTATCCAAACAGTTGGGAGCCCCAACTGGGACCAAAAGCAGGTGGAAGAAGAATACTCAGCTCGCCTTTGGCTTCATCTCTTTCTTCTTCCCTGGGAAGCCTTCCTTCTCCTCCTGCAGACTTTAGGTCTTTGCTTTTGACCCTGGACTTGCAGTGCAAGTGGCATGCCTGGCCTTTCAGTCTCACCACTGAGGGAGTTGCAATGATTGGGTTCCTCCAGCTGAAGCATTTGGACCTTGGACTGGAAGCTATGACATTAGCTTCTGGTTTCTCCAGGCTTGCAGAGTAGCCTGTCGTGGGACTACCCTTTGTGATTGTATGAGACGCCAATTTTTCTCCAGTAAATCCTTTTCAATGAGCCGGGCGCGGTGGCTCAAGCCTGTAATCCCAGCACTTGGGGAGCCGAGACGGGCCGATCACGAGTCAGGAGATCGAGACCATCCTGGCTAACATGGTGAAACCCCGATCTCCACTAAAAAATAACAAAAAAAACTAGCCGGCGAGGGTGGCGGCGCCTGTAGTCCCAGCCTCCGGGAGCTGAGCCGGAGAATGGCCGTGAACCCAGGAGGCGGAGCTTGCAGTGAGCTGAGAATCCGGCCACGGCACTCCAACCTGGGCGGCAGAGCGGGAACTCCGCCTCAAAAAAAAAAAAAAAAAAAAATTTCCTTTCATATACATATTCTACTGATTCTGGTTCTCTAGAGACCCTCAAATATATATACATATGTATATATGTTAATTTATACAGCAATTATACTATATATAGTATATATATAGTTTTTTTTAAAATAAGCAAATATACATACACCTGTTATTTGTCCACAACTTATATACAAAATGTTAGTGTACTTTATATATTATTCCGCATCTTGCTTTTTTTTTATAAAAAAATTTATTATATATCTTGACTCTCCATGTGGAGAGCACAGGCTTTCTTATTCATTTCATAGCCTGTATCACATTTTGCCATGTAGAATTACCATGTTTTATTCAACCAGATCCCCTGTATTCTGGACACATAGATTTTCTCATTCTTTTGCCGGTTATTTAAATGCTACAATGGATAAGTTTATATATATGTATTCTTTTGTTACTTGTGCAGGTACACTGTAGAATAGATTCTAGAAATGGATTGCTCAGTAATAAATATAATTGATATTAAAAGATATTATCAGATTTTGCCTCTCTAGGTTTCAGTTTGATACTCCACAGGAAGTTAAAAAGAGGGGACCTGTTTCCACACCTCAACCCACCAAAAGATGTCTTTTTTGGAATTTATGCCCATATATTCACTTGAGAAATATGTATCTCAGTTGAAGGTTATTTATTCTATTATTGTAAATAAGTTTAGCAGGCTTTCATTATACTTGGGACTGTATTATTATTATTATTTGTTTCTGTGAGTAGTCTGCTCACATCATTGTCATTTTTTACACTGGCCTGTTTTTCTTCTCCATTCATAGGACCTTTTTGTGTTTTATTGAGAAATTAACATTTTGTCTGTAATATAAACAAAAAAGTGCTTTTTTCCTAGTTTGTTATTTGCTCTTTATTTCACTAACATTTTTATCCATATAAAAGATATAGAATTTGGTACATGGTAATCAACGTTTCCTTCTTGGACTTTAGGCTTTAGGGTTACATTTACAAAGGACTTCCTTATTCTAGGGATATAAAGGAATTCATTTGTGTTTCTTCCTAGTACTTAAGTTTGGAAAATTTATAATTTTAATCATTTTGGTGTTTATCTTTCCCCAAAAGGCTCTCAATTTTTGTCCAAGAAAATTTATTAAAATGCCCCATATTACCTCTCATCTTATTATTGTATTAGGGTTCTCTAGAGGGACAGAACTAATAGGATAGGTGTATATGTGAAGGGGAGTTTATTAAGGAGTATTGACTCATACGATCAAAAGGTGAAGTCCCACAATAGGCCGCATGCAAGCTGAGGAGCAAGGAAGCCACTTCAAGTCTCCAAACCTCAAAACTAGGGTAGCTCACAGTCTGCGGCTGAAGGCCTGAGAGCCCTGACAAACCACTGGTGTAAGTCCAAGAGCTCAAAAACTGAAGAACTTGGAGTCTGATGTTCCAGGGCAGGAAGCATCCAGCATGGCAGAAAGATGAAGGCTGGAAGACTCAGCAAGTTACCGCTCAGTAAATAACCACCACAAGTATGTACTGACATTCTGTATACATCTGGGTTTATTTATGCACTTTTATGGGTTCCATCCTGTTATTTTTTGGTAGTTGTTGTAATACGTGGGAATATTTTACTTTAATAGTCACATATTATTAATATCTTTCTGTGATCCCCTGACTTTCCTCTTCCTTAAGGCAGTTTCATTGGTTTCCTACCATGAGAAATGAAATTAACCTGTAGCATCTTCTTCCTTTTACTATCTCTTTCTCCACCATCCAGTGTTAGTCCACAATGTCATATTTCTTAACGTTTATTTTGTTTGCTTACATATACTTAAGTTTTTACTACTTGATTTGTCAGCTTTAAGTGGTGTCTTGTCTCTCAGCTTTTATCAATAAGGCAGTCAGTGAATTTATTCTACTTTCTATTATTTTTCCCATTCTCCTTGGAAACTAAGCAGTTTACTGGGGAGTAATGCATATGAAAATAGGGGGATGAAGGAGAAGTGGCAAGGAAAGTTTTCATATTATGATGCAGATCAGGTTACTCGTGAGAGGAAAGAGGAAGAAAGCAAGATTAGGAGGGAAAGCCTCAGTCCATGATGTAGATATGATAAAGCCTTGATGCAAAGGGAAGATCTAAAGGAAAGACTGCCTGTTGCAAAAGTTCTATTTTGGACACAAATGGCCAGATTCCAGTACTCCTGCAGTGATCAGTCATGGGCTGGTCTATACAGAGCTACCAAAATGAGCCTAGATGGATAGAGTAAAGTGAGGGAGTTGGGGTCTTTAATTGTCAGACCAAGAATCATAGGGCAAACACATAATTTGGATTGGAAACACATATTAAGAAGTAAGATTAAGTTAATTTAAGTAAATTAATCACTTTGTTTGAAAAAGAAAATTAATGTTTAGAGATAGAGTGTCCTCCCCAAGTCACTTGGCTGATTAGTGGCAGAGTTAACAAAAATGCAAATCTTCATTTACGTCTCTTTTCACCAGTCTCAGAGTCTAAGAAAGGCAAGAAACTTCCAGATACACACAATGAATATAAATTGCCATTTGAAATCTTTATTAGTTAGCAAAAAAATCTAACATAATCATCAGAGTTTTAAGCAGCAGTGACAGAAGATAAAAATGCCTCCACATCCCAAATGAACATCTCCATATACCAAGTAGCTAATTTTTATTCTTTTACAACTGAAGTCAGGGTTTTTATTTTCAGAGACAATTCTGCAAACTTGACATTAAAGTAATAGTTTGGCGTGGTTTAAAATACATTCAAATGTATACTAAATGTTTTAGAAAATATTCCATTGTTGAATACATTTCACATGGAATTTATGTGAATTAATTGATAGTGAAATATTATGAGCACCATGTGAACATACAAAAATGTATTCTTGTTGTTCACAGAGGCTAGAATCAAGTACATTGGATCGAAATTAACTTAGACACGATGCAATACATGTCAACTTTGTAGTTTAAACAATTACATATACTAAGAAAAGCAGTGCCAGTCTTGGTTCATGCTTGGCTGCCAGATTTTATTGTCATTCACTTCTAATCCTCACTTCAAATCAAATTTCCCCTTTCTTGGCTCACACTTTGTGAAATAAAATTTTATTTAAAATTAAAGATAATTATCTAAAGGGTTTTATCATTAATCAACAATACAACGACAGGTCTATCGATAGATTTAGATTAAAGTTTCCATCTACAGATATTTAGATGTTTTTGTTCATCTGGAGAGATCCAATTTTACCCCCTTATGTTTATAGGATTAGATGGTTCAGGTGGGATTTTGATGGGGGTACAAGGTAGTGATTTTGTAGTTTCCAACATTTAGGGAAAAGTAAATGGTTGATGGCCCATATAATATTCTCTCTTTATCTAAAGACTTTCTCTGCCCTCAGAGGGCTATCTCTGTAGGTTCCAAAAAGTGATTTTTGAAACTCGGACCTGCACCTGGCTTGTGGGATAGAGGCATTTTGTCTTGTTAATAGGTCTTGTGGTGGTGAATAATTAGATTGAAAGATTAGTCATAGTGCTTTAAATCTGAATAATATAATTTCATGTTGGGATTGGTGCTAAAAGTAAAGATGGTAGTTCTGCACTCATAAATCACATCTTAAAATGACAGAACACTTTACAACATATACTATTGCTCCACCATGTCTTCAATAACTCTGTTTAGTAGATTCTTTATATATAAAAGAAATCGAGAAATTTTATTTTGGGTGGGAGCTGAAGTTGGTTGTTTAGTAGTAGTAGTAGTTTGAGTAGTGACTGAAATAGTGGTTTGGTGTGTGGGTGCAGCTGGAGTTTCAGAAGTGTCAGGTGCAAGAGTAGCTGGGGAAGAATTAGGTGTGGTGATTGGGGCAGCTGTGGTCTCCAGTGGAGCTGAGGAAGGTGGTGGAGCTGGTGTAGTTGCAGGTGTGGGTAGGGCAGCTGTGGTCTCCGGTGGAGCTGAGGAAGGTGGTGGAGCTGGTGTAGTTGCAGAAGGTGTGGGTGGGGCAGCTGTGGTCTCCGGTGGAGCTGAGGAAGGTGGTGGAGCTGGTGTAGTTGCAGAAGGTGTGGATGGGGCAGCTGTGGTCTCTGGTGTAGCTGAGGAAGGTGGTGGAGCTGGTGTAGTTGCAGAAGGTGTGGGTGGGGCAGCTGTGGTCTCTGGTGGAGCTGAGGAAGGTGGTGGAGCTGGTGTAGTTGCAGAAGGTGTGGTGATTGGGGCAGCTGTGGTCTCCGGTGGAGCTGAGAAAGGTGGTAGAACTGCTGTAGTTGCAGAAGGTGTGGGTGGGGCAGCTGTGGTCTCCAGTGGAGCTGAGGAAGGTGGTGGAGTTGGTGTAGTTGCAGAAGGTGTAGGTGGGGCAGTTGTGGTCTCCGGTGGAGCTGAGGAAGGTGGTAGAGCTGCTGTAGTTGCAGAAGGTGTGGGTGGGGGAGCTGTGGTGTCTTGTGGAGCTGGGGAATTCGATGGTGTTAATGTAGCTACAGAAGAGCTTGTGTTAACATTTTCTCTTGAAGATGTGGTGGTGGCTTTCTGAGGAAGAGAAGTCACATTTGGAAGGGTAGTAATTTTGGTGGAAGCAGATGGGGAAGTCACAGATGGAATTTGGGTTGTAGTCACTAAGGTAGTATCTGGATGTTTAGATGGCTGGGGAGGATTTGGGAATTTGTGGGGGTTATGAACTGAAGGTGGAGGCCTAGGTCTACAGCGTTTGTGTAGACATTTATGGGGCTTTATAATGAATGGCTTCTGGTGAGTTGGTAGTCCAGGATGATGTGGTAATTCAAAGTGAGGTTTGGGTAAATGGTGATGATGCCTTCTGTGACGTAGTTCATGAGCCCTTTCTCGACCTTCACTGAACTGCAGAAAAGAAAGAAAATGTAAGAAATGAAAAAAGTATCCATTTATTTATCAATCAGGTGATCACTGCTGACCATGAGATGAACAGTATTTGTGGAGTGCTGGGATTAGAAACCAGAGTACATTATTGAGTCAAGTGATTATCTTCCTAATTTCACCTGATTTTCACTAAGTTTCAAGAAAGAATTGCTACTATTTTTGTCAAATGTCCACTCTCTAGATAGCTGGGATGAATATATTCCTGTGGGCTCTAGCCTGAATGCTTAGCTGGATATGAACTTTTGTGCTTCCAGTTTCTCTCTTCTTCCTCTGGTGGAAAATGGTCAAGTTACTGCCTGAGGTCCCAGCACAAAGGCTTCCTGCTTACTCAGCATGTTCACAAAACCTTAGTCAAAGACATTCAACTGAGATCCAAGAGCCCTTTCTGGATTACACCCCTTATATCTACCATCATCAAAACACGAAACAGTCAAACAACAACAAAGCCCCAACAAACAAAATATCCCAGCCCAGCTTCATGTTTTCCATATTTCAGGAAACAGTTTTTAGCCTTTATAAATTGGAGAAACAACTTTGGTCATTACCTTTTAACTTTATTGTTTAAAAAATTAGAATTACAGAATTCATGATTCACGGGGTTCATGATTCATCTGATTTTTAGAGAAAATTTGCATGTTTATGCATTTTGTCTGGATACAGCACCAATGATTTTCATGATTTCTGAAAGGTGTTTACATCTGAAAAGAACACTGATCTAGTCCAACTGTACATCTGATACTTGATCTTCTATCAATATACCTGCTGAAAGGCTTTCCAGTCTATGCATCTAAACTTTTCTGATTAAGAACTCACTACAGTAATTCCTAAGGCAGCCTGATAGAGAGTTCTTGATAGTGAATGTAGGTTTGTTTCTTGGGATTTTTATTGTTAACTGAGTAGAATTTTCTTCATGAAGATTTCCATTCTTTGGTCCAATTTTATGTTTTGGCAGATTTACCAAAAATCCAGGAGTCCTTCAAAATTTGAAAATAACTTCTATGCCATGTGGGTCATCATTTTGCAAGATGAATATTTTTATTTCCTTTAGCTATTGCTGATATTATTTGAGTTAGAGTACCATCACTGTTTCAGTTTATTATCTGTAAACATACTTCATGCCTTTTATATCCCTCTTCCCTGTATTCAATCTCATACTACATTTTTTAGTGATCGGTTATATTAAATTGGAGAAAAGAAATATTAATAGGATGAATGAGACCATCCCAAACCAGGATAGGTTATATTTTCTTCCTAATGATTTTCACAGAAGCCCTTTTTAGATCACCAAATGGGTACATCATTCCAGTCCCAAGTTATAAAGCTTTCTTTGGACACAAAGTTTAGTGCAGATGACATGATAACTTCTGAGAGACTAGCCAAGTTGTGTAAGATAAGATAACTTCCTCAGACTAATATATCCAGCCTCAAAAGTAGCTTCTAGGTATTGGGTTTTCAGAGATGAATGAAACAGGGACCCTTGTGACCTCGTGAGGCTCATGTGATTAAGGGAAGGAACCACATAACTATTTCAAAGCAAAAAGGTCATAGAATTAGATTTTGGATCTGGAATTTAATCTAAATCATTTCATAAATGAATAAACTGAGATCCAGGCATATTAAGTAATTTGCCCAAAGTCACTCGGTTATTCAATGGCAGATACAGGACAGATTCAAACCTCCACTGCTGGTCTGTTGCAGTGTGTTTCAAACATGTTCCTCTAAGATCTGGACATTCTCCGCAGCATCCATCAATACAAGAAAGGATTATTTGTTTAGAAAATTAAATCATCCAGGAAATTTTAATTCATAACTGGGAATAGCCATTAGTTAACATAATGGCTTCTGATACTCATAACTTTGATATTTTTCCATAGGTCTCTCTTAAAAGGGCTTAGGTTTTCAGAATCGGTAACACTGACTCCAGGAATCTCTGAGGAGATCCTTTCCATTACAGGGGTACTTGTTTTCTCATATAAAACAAACAGGTCGTATTGTTCAAACAGATCTTTCCCTGGAGATTGAATATGCAATCCACATAATTAGGGACCTGCTCTGATTGAAGCAGGATTGAGGGCCTCACATTCCATGATCTCAGTCTTTCCCTTTCCAGATGGTCTCTGAAGATGTTGCAAAGAATGTCCAGATCTTATAGGAACATGTATGAAACACGCTGCAACAGACCAGCAGTGGAGGTTTGGCTCTGTCCTGTGTCTGCCACTGAATAGCTGAGTGACTGTGGGCAGGTCACTCAGGTCACTGTCTGTTCACATTCGCTATTTATTTTTATTAAAAATGTCTTTATATAACACTTACTTTATGTTAGGCCCTATTCTGAGTGGTTTACAAATACGAATTTATTTAATTTCTTAGCAATATCATAAGGTGGGTATGGTGATTATCTTCATTATATGGATGGGAAAACTGAGTCTTAGACTAAGTAACTTTTAGGAGAATGTTTCTCCATTTGCAAACTCCACTTTTGAGAGGAGAGAAGAGGAAGAAGGCATGAGGAACAAGGAGAGAGTAGGCTGGAATCAAAGGAAGGAGAAGGAGAGACACATGACACTTGAAGCAAGAAAGGAGGGTATGAGAAAGCAGAAGACTCCTAAAATAACTAGAGGAATGCCACATTTTCTGAGGAAGGAAGAGGAGGAGAAAATTAGTTAGAAAGGAAGAGAGCTAGAGGACAGCAAGGTCAAGATTACATTTTTAATTTTTTTTATTTTGAGATGGAGTCTTGCTCCATCACCCAGTTGGAGTGCAGTGGCGTGATCTCAGCTCACTGCAACCTCAGTCTCCTGAGTTCAAGGAATTCTCCTGCCTCAGCCTCCCTAGAAGTTGTAATTACAGGTGTGCACTCCACGCCTGGCTAATTTTTGTATTTTCAGTAGAGATGGGGGTTTCACCATGTTGGCCAGGCTGGTCTTGAACTCCTGACCTCAGGTGATCTTCCTGCCTCGGCCTCTGAAACTGCTGGATTACACGTGTGAGCCACAGCACCTGGCCCAAGATTACGTTTGATTGAAATTAGAAAGCACATTACATTTCTTCATTTGCTGCCAGCTTATTTTTATGACCATTTGAAAACCTGTGATCCTTTTTTAAAGAGAATGAAAGCATTATGTTAAATAATGCTATAGTTGACAGAGCTCTTCATCTGACTCCAGAATACATCCCTTCAAATCTTCCTTTGGGATATCTGGAAGAGAGAAACCGACTATCCACTCCTTGAAATCACTCCACAAAAGCAGGTTGTTGCTAGAGCTCCAGGGTTGAACTTTTCTGGCTCTGGGTTGATGCTACTCTCTGGTATATTCCTGTATTTTCTTTTCTTTTCTTTTCTTTTTTTTTTTTTGAAATGGAGTCTTGCTCTTTTGCGCAGGCTGAAGTGCAGTGGCACAATCTTGGCTCACTGCAACCTCCGCCTCCCAAGTTCAAGTGATTCTCCTGTCTCAGCCTCCTGAGTGGCTGGGATTACAGGTGTGTGCCACCACGCCCAGCTAATTTTTGTAGTTTTAGTAGAGACAAGGTTTCATCATGTTGGCCAGGCTGGTCTTGAGCTCCTGACCTCACATTCCTGTATTTTCTAAGGATCAGGTCAAGGTATTTCTGTGCTACCTTCTCATATTCAAGTTCTTTGGAAACTGTTTCTCTCACCAGGCACTTTTTTGAGATTTGGGTAGTTTGAAGAGTTTTCTTTATTCTAAGCACTTGGAAGAAAGGATTCTTTAGGTGTCTGGATTTGTGGGAGTTATGATGAAAGACCACCTCAAAAGAACAACCCAAATTCATCATTTCACAATAACATAATTATTTGTGTTGAATGGAAAGTTATTTCTTTCAATATAGAGTTGTTGGTAGCCAGGGATTCCTTATTAAAATTTTACTTATTAAAAAGTTAACATCACCGTGCATATTCAGAACTTAAAGAAAGCCTTATCAACTAGTATGTAAATTGAGATTACAATAATCTTGTTATAATTTTTATATCTATACTATATTTTATAATTTATAAATTCTCATTTACCCTTCAGCAGCCCTGTGAAGCATATAGTGTTATTATTATTTTACACATAGGGAAATTGGGGTCCTATAAATAGATTCTAAATTGCTCAAGATTCATCTGGATGGTAAACATCAGAGATGAGTTTAAGTCCACATCTTCTGAGCCTAACTTGAGCACTCTTCCACAGTCACACAAATCAGCATTAGGGTCCAGGGAAAAAGCCTGATTGCTTTCTGGGGGATATTATATGGTAAGTGAGAAATATGAGAATATCTAACAGTAAATTCCATCCATTTCATCAGTTCTTCTACCCTCTCTCTCTACTCTACGGGCATAATATTCTGAGGCTATCCATCCTCATTCAATAAAAGTACATTCTACTTCTTGATTCTTGTTTGAAGTTTTGTCAAAATAAAATTGAATAAATACTTACAAGTACATAGCATTAGAGAAAAATATGGTTATTATTACAGCATGTATCACCTAGGAATCACATTATATCATTATTAATTCTAATCTTCCTTTGCCAGTACAACCTAAATTTCTTAAAGATAGAAGGTCCACTTTGTAATCTTCTCTTGGTTTTGGAAGTCATCCTTTCCTATCCCCTCTTGTGGGTCCTCCATTTTCTTTATCCATATCCAAACTACCTACATTTTCTCCCTAGGTGATCTTGTAAGGTCTCATGGCTTCAAGTATGTTTTAAATATAGACTTTACCCCGAGATTTCTTAACTCCAGACAACATATATCCACTGTTTTCTTGATATCTTGATGTAGAAGTCTAATAGCCATTTCAAATGGAACATGCCCCAAACTTGAACATTTTTGTCCATTTCTTTCTTTCTTTTTTTTTCTTTTGAGACAGTCTTGCACTGTCACCCAGGCCGGAGTGCAGTGATGCGATCTCGGCTCACTGCAAATTCCACCTCCCAGGTTCGAGCAATTCTCCTGCCTCAGCCTCCTGAGTAGCTGGGATTACAGGTGTCCACCACCATGCCCAGCTAATTTTTGCATTTTTAGTAGAGACAGGGTTTTGCCATGTTGGCCAGGGTGGTCTTGAACTCCTGACCTCAGGTGATCCACCTGCCTTGGCCTCCCAAAGTGCTGGGACTACAGGCGTGATCCACCTCCCCTGGCCTGTTCATTTCTTTCTTTTACCACATATACAATCCAGTAGAAGGTATAGTAGACTCAATCACTAAAATATATCCTAAAACCACTCTCACCTTTTAATTGCTGACATTTGGTGCAAGTCACCATCATCTTTTATCTGGACCACTGCCATAGCTTCCTGACTAGTCTCCTTATCTCAGTTTTTATTACCTGCTACCTGTCTTCTCCTGAGAATCCTGTCATGTAACTCCCCTGGGAGTGCTTTGATCATGCTGAGACTTCCTGACAGATTCGAATCCATATTCCACACCAAGACCTAAAGGCCTTACCAATCTGGGTTTTCATCTCTGTCAGTTCTCATCACACTCACTATAAAGTTTGTGCTTTGTAAATATTGGATAAATGAAACAAATTATTTCCTTATGCTCTGTCTGTCTACCTACCTACCTGCCTACCTATCTAGTCTATCTACCTATCTGTATATATTTTTAAGACAGGGTCTCATTTTGTTGCCCAGGCTGTGACATAGTGGTGTGATTACGGCTTGCTGCAGCCTTGACCTCCCAGGCTTAAGATCCCACCTCAGCCTCCGAGTAGCTGGGATTACAAGTACGCATCACCACACCTGGCTAATTAATTTTTTTTCTTTTTTTGTTATTGTGGAAACACTGTCTCATTATGTTACCCAGCCTAGTCTTCTGAGCTCAAGTGATCCTCTCTCCTAGGCTTCCCATAGTGCTGAGATTAGAGGTGTGAGCCACTGCACCGGCCAATTATCCATATTTCTATGTTTCCCAGAAATAAAAGATGTCAAGCTTCTTGGAAATAGGGATTGCCTGTTATGCTTTAAAAGTCTCAGGTAGGTACACTAAATGTTTGTTATTGATAGTTAAGGAAAAAACTTATTTGGGTGAATACTTACTGAGAAGCAAGCACTCAGTGCACAGATGCACACAAACAGCGGCAGAGTTTTCATTCTTTCTGATGTCTCCTGGGAAAAGCAGAAACGTGGCTTACTATTAGTTATGATATTACAGGAGAGGAATGCATTTTGGTAAATGACTTATTTTTATTAGAAAGCACAGGCTAAAAGAGACCAGTGGTTTCTGAAAATTATGTATGCATTTTCATTCCATAGGGGTGACGCAAAATTACTTCAGGCCTAACATACATTCTTTTAGAGAGGAAGCAATGGAGGAGACTCAAGAATTATTCTAACTAGTTTGCAACATGAGCATTTTCTATTATATTAAAGATTGGCTAGGAAAGGCAGGATCTTAGGAAGTTTAGCAATAAGAGAAGGAAATAATTTTATTCTTATTTCTTTTCTAATTCAAGAAGCTTCTCTCTCTGGGGAACCATCATATAAATGACCTGATACTGCACAGTTTTATAAAGATTCCTGATGTTAGAATGAAGACGCTCTTTGTCTATGTGCTATGAGGCTGTCACTTGGAACAAAGAACCAGGTCAAATGGACTCTTCCTCCAATTTCATTCTACTGAAGATTTTGCCATTTGATAATCCTTTTTCTTGTATCTTTTTTGTTTTTTTGAGACAGGGTCTCGCTCTGTTGTCCAGGCTGGAGTGAAGTGGCATGCTCATGGCTCACTGCAGCCTGCACCCACCAGGCTCAAGTGATCCTCTCACTTTGGCCACCCTAGTAGCTGGAACTACAGTCATGCACCACCACTCCTGGCTATTGTCATTATCATTATTTTTATTTTTCATACAGACAGGGTTTCACTGTGTTGCCCAGGCTGGTCTTGAACTCCTGGGCTCAAGCAATCCATCCTCATTGGCCTCCTAAAATTCTGCGATTACAGGTGTGAGCCACCGTGTCTGGCCGATACCCCTTTTCTAAGTCCCGAAATGACAGGAATTATGCTTTATTCATTGTTATGTCATCATGCCTAGTACATAGTGCAGACTTAATGCATATTTTTTTTGAATAACTACTTGCAAAAGAAAATTGTATTTTGGTTATAGGTTGTAGAAGGGAAGAATGAGAGAAGAGAAGAATGAGAGAGGAGAAGAATGTGGTCTTTTATTTTTCTCATTTTGGTTATATATGTAATGTGTACATGTCAGCTTATCAACTTTAGAAAACAAAATAAAGGTTAAATCATATAGACAGATTACATATTAGGGCAGGTAATTAGTGTGCATGTCAATGTGGCGGGCTGCAAGATTAGACACACTTTACAATACAATCCCGTGGTTTATGAAGTGGATGTTAGAGTCAGTCAGAGACTTGATTTAAGCTCTGCCCACCTATTGTATAACTCTGCCACTCACTGCATGACTTTGAGTGAGTTTCAATCTTACATCATAAGAATTTCCTGAGGATTGACTGGAATTATATATATATATATATACACACACACACACGTATATACACACACACAAACATATAAAAAACAAATCGTACTAAGAATAATGTCTTATCCTTAATAAAGTCTCAGCGGTATTATTATAGTACTAGCATAGTAAGAAGAAAACAATCTGACGCAGCTGAAAAAAGAAATGGTTACTTATTATTCTTCAGGTTCCTAATATATTGTCCGATTTTTTTTTTTTTTAAATTTTCAAGACCAAAAAACATTCCTACCAGTCATTTTGTGTTCTAATAACATATGAATTGAGTGTTATCACATAGTTTGGCAGTTCACGAGAGGAGAATAACTGTATTAGAACAACTATTGCTATTAATATATGTATATTACTTGAAAACTGTTTAGTTTATATTATAATCTATCTAAAGTATTCACATACCTGGTGCAGTGTGAATATTTCTTCTTAGGATGTTCAATTCAGTTGCTTGCTTTTAGCCAATCCTTTGAGGATGGTAACTAGAAGCAAAAGAAGAGAAAGCACAAGAGAATTTTCAGGTTTTATAACTCTCCAGTTGAGCTTTTTGGAAATAGGAAATCTATTAGATTTAAGATAAGGTCACTTGTGTCAAGGAATTTGCTTTTAAAGAAAAGAATAGTTGTGGTTTGCTGAGGTTGACAGTAGTTCTTTGTGCATCAATTTCTTCCTGATGAGCACAGTGACGATCAGAGGTTCTCAATGAGTAACTTACGTGCTTGATGAGTAGTGGAACAGTGATTGATGGCACTTACGGAGAAACGAACAACCGTGGCCCGGGTCCTCCCAACAGGAACAGATCATCCCCTCTTTCCTGTTGGGCTCTCAAAGGAAGCAGAGTAATTGCCTTCTGACAGTTAATGTGATGGGACACCATATTTCCTTGTCAATAAGACAAGTTAATAAAGGACAGAGGATTTAAAAAAAAATAATGTGGTGCCAAGTACTGGTGCAAGACAGTATTTAAAGCCAAAAAATAAACACTGAATTTTTTAATACAAGCAATTAAAAACAATTTTTGACATTTTGCCTTGAAAAATATTCAAACATGTAGAAAAGTGAGGAGAGTAGTACAACTATATACTCGTTCCCTGGTTTTCATAATTCTTACCATTTTGCTATATATCTTAGTTGTTTTGCTGAAGTGTTTTAAGGTAAACTACAGAAATTGTAACAGCTACTCTCTATTTCAGCATTGCTCTCTAAAAAGCCTTTCTTTTATAACACAACACCATCAACCTATAACAATATTAATAATTCAAACACATAATCTAAAATTGAATTTATACTCAAATTTTCCCAGTTTTGGCAAAAATATTTTTAGTCATTTTGTTCCTACCAGGACTCAACTAAGGGCTGTGTGTTGCAGTCACTTCTTATGTCTCTAGTTTCTTTTGTCCCAGAAAATTTTCTACCTTTTCCCCCATGGTAGTGATATTTTGATATCCATACTAGTCATTTTATAAATATTTATTTTTAAAAAGAAACTTAAGAACTTAAGAAGGAACTTAAGAATCATTTTAATAGAGATTTTCAAAATTAGATATTTCTACTATGTAAAATCATTAATCTGGAATACAGTTCTAAAGGTGTGATTCCTCTTCTAGCTAGTCAGTTTGTTCTTTTGCACATATAGTCTCTGAGGGCTTACATTCTTTGGGTTTGATTCCTTGTTTCTCCACTTAGTATCCATGTAATTTTTGACAAGTTAGCTAACTTCTTTGAGCCTTAGTTTTTCTATCTGCTAATTAGGTGTGATATCTGCCTTACGAAGTTGTCAGACTGAAATTAGATAAGTTAAAGGTTCTGACACGGAACTTTTGAATGGAAAGCCCTCAGCTATTATACTGCCATTAGTGGAAAGTTAGGGACAGTTTTTGAGATAGCAATGAGTTAGTAAATATGGGCTATAATATTAATTTCTTTTCGTCTTTCTTTGCTAGCAATTGGTGATATGCATTTACAGTATACTTGTTACAGTTAAAATTGACTGTAGAGTAGAATTTTTATTGATCTGAAACAAGATTTGCTGAGTATATGGCTTCAGTAGAAAAATTTTCATATCACCTTGTTATTGCCCAATTAGTGGTAAGTTGTATTGACCTCAAAAATTGATAGAATTTCAAAAAATGAATTTAATTTCTTTAAATATTGGAAAAATATAAGAATATCTGGACATATTATGACTGAATTCAGTGCACTTCTGGTTTTATTTTACGATAAATGAGTAACATTTATGCATTTATTATTTTAATTTAAAAAAAATTATACTATAAGTTCTGGAATACCTGTGCAGAATGTGCAGGTTTGTTACATAGGTATACATGTGCCATGGTGGTTTGCTGCACCCATCAACCTGTCACCTACATTAGGTATTTCTCCTAATGCTATCCCTCTCCTAGCCCCTCACCCCCCAACAGGCTCGTGTGTCATGTTTCCCTCCCTGTGTCCATGTGTTCTCAGTGTTTAACTCCCACTTGTGAGTGACAACATGCAGTGTTTGGTTTTCCATTCCTGTGTTAGGTTGCTGAGAATGATCGTTTCCACCTTCATCCATGACCTTGCAAAGGACATGAACTCATCCTTTTTTTATGGCTCCATAGTATTCCATGGTGTATATGTGCCACATTTTCTTTATCCAGTCTATCATTGATGGGGATTTGGGTTGGTTCCAAGTCTTTGCTATTGTGAATAGTACTGCAAGAAATACACATGTGCATCTTTCTTTATAGTAGAATGATTTATAATCCTTTGTGTATATACCAAGTAATGGGATTGCTGGGTCATATGATATTTCTGGTTCTAGATCCTTGAGGAATCGCTACACTGTCTTCTACAATGGTTGAACTAATTTACGCTCTCAGCAACAGTGTAAAAGTGTTTATATTTGCCCACATCCTCTCCAGCAGTTGTTTCCTGACTTTTTAATGATTGCCATTCTAACTGGTGTGAGATGGTGTCTCATTGTGGTTTTGATTTCCATTTCTCTAATGACCAATGATGATGAGCTTTTTTTCATATGCTTGTTGGCCGCATGCAAGTCTTCTTTTGAGAAGTGTCTGTTCATATCCGTTGCCCACTTTTTGATGGGGTTGTTTGCTTTTTTCTCGTAAATATGTTTAAGTTCCTTGTAGATTCTGGGTATTAGCCCTTTGTCAGATGGATAGATTGCAAAATTTTCTCCCATTCTGTAGGTTGCCTGTTCACTCTGATGGTAGTTTCTTTTGCTGTGCAGAAGCTCTTTAGTTTAATTAGATCCCATTTGTCAATTTTGACTTTTGTTGCCATTGCCTTTGGTATTTTAGTCATGAAATCTTTGCCCATGCCCATTTCCTGAATGGTGTTGCCTAAGTTTTCTTCTAGGGTTTTTATGGTTTTAGGTCTTACATTTAAGTCTTTAATCCATCTTGAGTTAATTTTTGTATAAGGTGTAAGGAAGGGGTCTAGTTTCAGTTTTCTGCATATGGCTAGCCAGTTTTCCCAGGACCATTGATTAAATAGGGAATCCTTTCTCCATTTCTTGTTTTTTCAGGTTTGTCAAAGATCAGATGGTTGTAGATGTGTGGTGTTATTTCTGAGGCCTCTGTTCTGTTCCATTGGTCTAGA